AGTGATGGTATATTGAAAATGTAGGATCTGAGCATGACGTGAATGGTATGGAATAAGGGGTGGATAATGTCCTGGGTTTAGCAGCAGCAGTCATTTTTTCTCCTTCTTGGTAGCTGGTGCAGTGCTGTGTTTTGACTTTCAGGCTGGGAACAAAGCTGATAAAAATGATGTTTTGGTTTGGCCAAGGACTTTGTGAGCCTCATGCTCTGCCAGGGAGGAGGGGAAGCCGGGAGGAAGCAGAGACAGGACACCTGACCCAAACTGACCAAAGAGGTATTCCATACCACAGCACGTCATGCCCAGGGGGGAACTGGGAGGTACCCGGAAGGACAGGGGGTCGGCCGGGTCGGACTGGTGGTTCGGCGCGTGGTATTGTACTCCTTTCCTTTGCTATTTTCTCTTATCATTGTTGTCGTTGGTGGTAGCGGTGGTGATTCGTATTGTACACTAGTTGCTAGACTGTTCTTATCTCAGCCCGTGGGAGTTGCATTCCTTCGATTCTCCTCCCCATCCCTCTGGGAGCGGGGAAAGGAGGAGGGGCAGCCCCTGGGGAAGGGGGGGGGACGGACTAACGTGGGCCTCGATTGCTTCCAGCCTGGCACCACTCACTGGGGGTAAGTGCACAAGCTGTCTTGGTTGGGGTTAAACCATGACAGGAACATAAAAATGTCTCTCCATCTAGTATTGCCTCTAGCACAAAATAGCTCTGTGTTCCTCAGTTACTCAAAGCAAACTGAGAAGCAACAGGTCAATGTGAGGAATAGCTCCATTCCTCCAAGGAGAGTACAAGTGCTGCCACAACTCAAAGAGGTGAATTCAGGGTATCTGAATTGCAGAACTGCAGATTTTCTCCCCAAGTATGAATTTTGATCTATCTGATGTAATGCAAAGATAATCACCCTACTGAACCAAGAGTTTGAATCAGAAACCAGGAATCAAAAAAGAGACAACACAGTACAACACTGAAACCTTGCAACATATAGGTTGCTGTTGTTACACAAGCATTATACCTGTAACAACATTGAGGACACTTCAGCAATAGCAACCCCTGATTTTCAATTTATTACTGTAAGCCTTTCCAGAGAAACAGGCCATTTTGCACTCTGAATAGACTAAATAAGATGCACAAAAGCAGGGACATCAAAGTCCTCATTCTAACACTAAATTAATAAAAGATTCCATGATCACATGGAATTATCCAGTATTATAATTCTAAGGGCTTTCCTTTGTTGAGACTAAGTTACACACTTTAGAAAAAGAAACCAGCACAAAATGCTCAGGGCAGCCATCACTTCATTTAACTGAGCAGCTGTGTAGTATTTGTCTTTACCCTAGCAGGTTCGGTACACAATTGGTCAGGTTTTAGGTACACCTATCTGCTTAGATCAGAGGTTTCTGTGCCAAGCTATTTCTTGCAATTTTTACTTGCAAGATGGACTACAGCTGAAGTCACCTGAGGCACCATGGCCAGATGCTCTTTTTTAAGGATGAACACTGCAGCAAGCTCTGATGACGCAGCCCTGTGTCTGAACTCATCCTGTAAAGAGAAGGGTAAACTCTATATATTGTTATGTTTAATATGTGGCATATGAAGAAACATGGAAGGTTCAACAGATTAATTTTTTTTAACAGTTAAAGCCATTATTAATGCCTTTAACCAAATCTGACCTAGCTGGTGGGCGTGACCAAAGCATTTTTGATGTAGAGCCTCTACTGTCATAAATTACTCCATTACCTTCCTCTCAAGCTATAACCCCCCTGCACACTTCATAGTCCTCTCTGTGGAAGAAATGAATTATTTTAAACACTAGACACTTGTATTTGTATCCTGCTGGTAAACTTACGGTGATATTTAGATGTTTGTTCTCACAGATATTCCTAAAATAGAAAAAAAGATATTTGGGAATTACATCCTGAGTTACTCTGTCCCCAGGTTGTAACTGCTGTTTCAGGAGAGGCAGAAAGAGCTGCAGAGGCTGGAATGCTCAAGAGGCCTGGACTCCCGTGAAACGCTAGACAAAAAAGGCACTTGCTGCTAGGACAGGCAACGTTCCCCAGAAATCACACCACCAGGGCCTTGATGGGGAAAAGTTATCGAGTTTCCCACTGAAGAATGCCTTTGAATGTCACTTCGTAGGGAAATCAGACACTGGGATCAGCGTTTATTGGCTTCCCCTCATGCACATGATCAGCTCCAGAGGGAGGAGTTTGTTTCCACGGCTACAGAGTCGGGCGAAGGGGTTAGGGGCAGGTGGCTCCCTTGGAGCTTTTGGGTTTGGGAGCCGGATGTGCGGTCTGCAGCACGGCAAAAGCAGGAGTGAATGCGAGATGATCAGTGCCCCCTCCCTCCCAGTCCCACGGCAAGAAGCAAGTCTCGATGAATCATTCAAAAAACAGGAGAAACAAACCTCAGCTGTGTCTGTCAGAGGTAGGTGCAAGCTGCCTCCGAGATGAGTTTGCATGCTTTGTTGACACCCAGGGCTGTTGGAGCGCTGAAATCTGGCTTCAGGATATTGTATAGCATATTTACCTATAAACTCCTTTGCCTCTTTGTGGGTAGAAATAAGCTATATATTTTCAGTGCTGCCTCTTTTTGTGGGGGTTGCAATAAAAAGACTTTTTTTCCTCAAGCTGTTTGCCATCCTCTGCGTATGTTTTTTGCCACTGATGCACTGAAAACTGGAGTGCACTTGAGTAAGGAGAGTGGAGACCAAAGGTCTGTTTTCATCCAGTTAATTCTTACTTTTCTTTGCTCAGTTTAAAGTAGCCCATGTAAAAGCACTTTTCGATTTGTCCTCTAGCACTAGGTGAATGGTTTTCTTCCCTTGTAAATTAAAATGGTGTGTTGCTACTATGGAAATGTTACCTGGTTTTCTTCTTAGTTATTTAAATATATAAGCATACATGTTTGTCTCCTGAGTTTGCTCGGACTTCAGTTCTCCACCTCTCTGGTAATTTTGTTTTGGGCCCAGCTTACACACCTGCTCCTGGAAACTTGTAACATGTTGTGTCTGGTATAAGCTGTTGGCTTTTATTCTGAATAACTTGAAAAGACAAACAGACAACTGACGCCTGCATGTTCACTCTGCTAATCAAGATCCAAAATGGGGGAGACACCCAAATCATTTTCTTTTCTGAAATAAAGTGATAGTCTCTTGACTCTGCACTCAGTCTCTGACGAAGAATTAAGGATGCCTATCAGGCAACCACTTCTGGGAATTCAAAACCGTTTCATCTCTGAAGATACTGGTGTGAAAATCAACTTTATTTAATATTGCTTTCTGAAGAGGGCTTTTGGGGAAGATGGACCTCTCACCTTTTCTCTGGCAGGAAGAAGTCTCCTCACCCAACTTGGGTCATGGTCACCCCCCAATATGTGATACTTTGCTGGCTAAATACCATGAAAAAGATGATGCATGCCCTCTCCTACCCCCTTATGAGAGGATTTTTTATCTCCGTTCTCAAGCACGGCATCATTAAACCACCTGCTATCACCATCCAGCAGCCGTGAGGGCGCTTTAACTCTAGTGCCCATCGTCTGAGGGTGGCACATGTGAGCAGCCATGTTGGGGTCAATGGGAAGGGTGAAGGGGCACACCCCGTGGCGGCTCGGTTCCGGTATCCCTGCTGCAGCTTACCCAGGTCTACAGCAGGATGAAGCGAGCGGCTCCTTTCGGATTGGCTCGAGGATATGGGAGGGCTGCTTCTGGGGGAAGAGACTGGAGAAGGGGCGAGGCACTTTTCCTCAGTGTGAGGCAGTGGCCTCTCTGGGGATGGGGTAGCCGGTGCCTGCCCTCATGAAGTACAAAGCCCGTTGGAACGGCAATGTGGAGGGTTGATAGAGGTTTAAAGGAGTTGGGAACAGACCTGTGCAGGCAGGGGAGACCAGTCAGGAACACTTTCCCAAGGACTTCCTTCCTTCGTTTCCCGCCACAGAAAGGCTGCATGCAGCAGACATTTTGTCAGCTCTTGGTCGGGTTTGTACCGTTATCGCCGCTGGGGAGATCCATAACCAGCCTTGTCTTCCTTTTGCTCATGGAAAATGCAGCCAGGGAGGGGAAGTGGCAAGGCAGCCGTAGTTTAGGAAGAGTGCCTGTCATCGTAGTAGAGCTGAACTTTCCAGGGGTGGTTATGCGAGGATTAGAGGCAGTGTTTTCCCATTAAAGAAGTATTTCTGGTACTCAGAGTTGGGGTCTGGAATTCCCAGAATTCTGCTTTCTCAGTTATGTGTCCTTAGGAAGCACCTACGGAGGTCTTTTTCAGTCTAATGTGTTTATCGAAGGTGTTAAATTGGCCATGGTGTGGAAACTGCTACTACATCCACCTCTTGATTTACAATATAGTCCTATATCTTGTAGGGGACCAGTCACCCAGGAAAATTCAAATAATGCAAATAAAACCTCATTAAATACCATCTGGCTCAAAGCTACCCCTGAGTAATAATTTTTTTTCTTCATGTTTTCCTTTTCTGCCCCTGAGGTTTACAGAGTTGTCCCCCAACACATAAATTAATTGTGTAATTGGGGACTGTTAATAGCAATCACATTCCCAAAACTAGAGATGTACAAGTCTAGACTTGCCCTAGACTTCAAGTTTTTCTTTTCTTTTGGACATACCTCACATTGGTGAGGAAAAGGTCTGTTTGGTTTTAATTGAGCATGTTGGCATAGACAACACTTGTAGCTAAGGTCAATGCAGATGTTTATCGAAATCTCGTCTTTGGTTTCTTGTAGAAAAAATCTGCATCTGGAAACATCATAGGAAAGTGGTCATGGATATGATGTGACACTTATTATTGCAAAACTTAGCAAGCAAGTACTTAGAAGCGAGTACTGGGTTCATTCTGTAAAACAAAGCATAAGACTTTAAAAAGGAGAGAAACTATCTCCCTGAATATCCTTTAATTCCTCCTGCAGTGTTAAAATCAGACGGGAAAATTAATTTTTGTTACATAAAGTTGATTTTTAATATTCTAGAAAATAAAGAGACATCTCTTTCTCCACAGGTGCCGTTACAATGAACAAGAATATCCAGGAATTAAGGTAGTACACAGATTTTAATTGTTATTAGATGAATTCCTGTACCTGCTGTTGTCATTGTAGTAAACAGCACACTTACTTACTGAAAATGGAAGCCAGAAGATTCCTAAGGTGTAGTCTGTTATAATAATGTGACTGGGAAGGTGTGAACACAAAATTTAAGGATATGGTTGCCCAAGGCACTCTGCAGTGAAGGATGATCGACACTGTATGATGTAATTTGTGTGCAAGGGTAATAGCTGAATTTGTATCCACAGTGGAATGAGTTCTTCACTGGCAATGGGATTTCTGCACAAAGAGAAGTATATGGTACTGCCCTTTGGAATAAATTTGGAGGGGTCTGTGATTCTCCCACAAGTGATACTTGTGAAATTTGGTGACTTTTACTGGTTTGAGTGTTTGAAGTTTTTTTCCCCAGAAGGTAGTGCTTGGGTTTAGTGATTTTTGTGTACAGTTATGTATATAATATTCTATGAGTCTACATAATGTTTGAAAGTGTCTCCCAAAGAAAGATAATTAATGATTTGAAAATTAATTGCCAGCAGACAAGAATTGGGATTGTATTTGTCTCCCCAAAACTTTGATCTACTGATTCACTCAGACTCTGATGGATCAGGCTGAAGTGTAATCTCACCAGTGCACTCATTACAACAGTGTCTAGTGGCAGATGTCACAAGAAAAATGGTGAGGAAAAAGCAGTATTTTTCCATAGTACATTGCAGTTTCCAGGGAATTAGAATGTAAAGACTTACTGAATCTAAATATCTGTCCCGACTGTCAAATTTGTTAGTCTTTGGTGTTTGTATAGTCATTCTTTTAACCTGTTTGCACATTTAGGTCATACTCCACAATAACAGGGCAGTGTTACTAGAACTTCCAGCTTTCCCTCTTCTTCGTGATTCTAGGGTTACAAACTCGGGATGATTTTCCCTGTGCTGTGTAGTTCTGTTTGCTTCAGTGTCTTCTGATCTTGTTTCATCAGTAATGTCACAGAAAGAAAATTAAGGTTTATCAGGATGCCTTGATACAGCTGCATAGAGGCAGTATAACAAGTGCAGTGCACATAGGGACCTGTTGCATTGTGAAAAAGAAGTGCAGCGTGGGCAGAAATCAACTCTGCATGTTGTAATTGGGTCATTTGTGAATGTCACAGTCCTGGTATGTACACACAAGAGCACTGATGGTCAATGACAGGGAGCTGCTCTCCTTGCTGATCTCATTGTCTTCCCTCAACTGTAGACTTGCCAATTAAACTGTTTTTCCACAATTTCAGATTCCAGTTTGTCCCTCAACTATTTTTTCTTCATGTTTCCTCTTAGTTTTCTTCTCTTTACTGCTTAGAGCTGAACTGCCAAAACTTGTCTATTATTCTCACTTAGATGGATTTCTTTCTGTTTTGGTCAGAAAAAACTGATTTCGCCCTTTTTTAACTTATCTGCCTGCTTTCTTTGCACACACACACACACACACACACACACACATGCCCCCTCCCCAGCTTCCCCTCAGGAAAGTAGCAAATTATCTGATGCCCGATGAAGTCCAGTAAAATCAGATGGTGTGTATTGGCACAGGCTTCCTTTCTTCTGTGCTCAAGGTTTTATACAACCAAACAACAAACAACAGGTCTCTTGATTCTAAGTTCTCTTAGATGTGTCTTATCATGCCTGCAAATGAAGTATTTGATAGATTTCTGTGGGTTTGATGGACCATACTGTTCCAGCTTTGTCTCAGTAAGGTAGTATTTTACTGGCCAGCTAGCAGAAAAAATGTGTAAATAAAGGGAAATCCCTTTTCAGAAGGTAAACCAACTTAATTCTCTTTGATGAAATGCTGCTTTACTTCTTTGGACTTTAATAGATTATGCCTGCTAGTGGCAAAAGACCATAGTTCAGTTGTCTACAGTGGAGCTGCAGCAGTTGAAGATGTGTCACTGTGTTGCCAAATACACATGCAAACCAGGAAAGTACAACAGTGTTGCCAAATTCACTGGTTTTTTTCAGTTAGTCCTGTCAGGTTTCATTTGTGATGGCCTGCAGTTGGATGCTCTTCTGTATTCAGTCCTGCCTTTTCAGCAAATGTTTTTGTGTGCTTTTCTGCAGGGAGAGACTGGAAAAACAGCGAAAAGAGTCTCTGAAACTCCACAAAGAAACCACCAAATGCATGGTGGAATCAATGATACATCCCTTGAGTCATCAGGAATCTTTACCAAGTGGCAATATGCCTAGTTTGGGCAAGTATTAAATAGATTTCAGAAGATATGGGAATACATTACTATAAACATTGCAGACTGTTACGTGACTTAGAAGTTCATGTTACATATTTCAAGTTGAATCCTCTTTAGGCCCTGTGTCTTGAACAGCTCTTGTCAGCACAATCCCAAGGTAAAGGCAGAGCAGCTCTGAAGTGTTCTCTGAACACCCAGTTTCATACACCCAGTGGGGAGTCCTGGGATTGGCTGGATTTGTTCTACTTAGAAAAGATGATTCCTAGGCTGTACTGTTGGTAGGCACTAAGAGGCACAAATGCCCTGTTGTACAGATAATGAATTATACTCACGTATGACTTTTGCTTCAGCATTTAAATTTATCTGTCTTTCAGGTGCTGCTACTCCGTTTCTCAGCAACCAGAATGCTTCAGCTTCTTCCATTCTCAGCACAGTGATGAAGAGCTCAGCCTGTTCTAGTACCACTAGCAGTTCACCCAATAATGTCTTGTGTTCCAATTATGAAATACATACTGATTCTGAGAAAGAAAACAGGAGTGGTGCTGGCAAAGAACACATGGAAAACATTCTAGAAGAATACTTGCAGAAAGGTAGAGATGCGCAGAAGAGTCTGAATGAAGTGAGTTGCAAATTTGGGGCAGCTTCTTAAAATACGGACAAGCTTTTGTTGGTTTCGTCATTGCTGAATCTTTGGACAGTTTCACCAGCACTGTTTTGAGCATCCACTTGGCTGCTGTAAATTGTACTTGGCCATCATGATTTCCACGTGCCGTTTGACAGAAATAGACAATGGGTAGTAATGTTGTCATGATCCTTGTAACAGTCTTCCATGCATAGTCAGTCCATGACAGCACAGTGTGACTAGCAAGTTAACTAAGAAATATTAAAAAACCCTTTGATTCCCATACCCTTGCTGCTCTCAGCCTTTTTTTTTCTTTTTTTTTCTTTTTTCTTTTTTTTGGGGGGGGGGGGGTGGAGGTTATTTAATATTTTGGTTGGTTTAGCGTCTTTGTTTTTTTTTTTTTCCTCCTTTAGACTACTGAGCTACGTGAGCAACAGAAAAGCAATTTAAGGTTGATCATTGCTGATTTGCAGACCAAACTGATGGAAGTGCAATTGGAAAGAGATGCGCTTCAGGATGCTAGGTATGAAGGCCAGGACAGATGTGTTGTGAGGAGTGTGTATATGGGCTTTGAGAGGCACACCGCATCTCTTAAATGAGAAACTTGCCCTCAGGAATGGCAACTATGAGACTGTGGCCCCTTGGTTTAGAAAATGGCTTACTGTGTAGCTGCAAAAAAAAGTTGATCAGTGTAAGTAACCTGTTATTCAGGATAAAAATCCATGTTGCGAATTCTGTTTTCTAAATCATTTCTTCATTTTCCCAATTCAGACAAAAGGAATTCCAGAGCCAAGAGACTATCAAAATACAGCTAAAAACTACTATTAAAAAACTGGAAGCTGCCAGCCACCTGCAGGAGAAGATGCTAAGGGAGGCTGACAGCCAAACTGAACATCTGGAAAAGATGGTCCACAGCTATGAGGAAGTACTTCTGGAACTCCATGGCATCCTCATGGACTACGAAGACAGCACAGGCAGGAAACTCTGTGACCATGAGAATATTACTAGCCGACAGATGCACAGCCTGAGCAGAGGACTTGCTGGCGTACTGCAAGATTTAGACTCAGAGGTGTCATACCTCAAAGAAAAGGTTGCCCTGGTATGTGAAGAAAGTTATACTTTTCCTTCCAAGACTTCTATGTTCTGTATTTTTAGAAGGTATTTTTGGTAACTCTGTGACCTCCCATCTAAAGCAGCTGAAGGAAATGGTTATGGCATAAATGCATACAAATGATACTTTGCAGTTAAGATGGCAGGTGCTGGTTTGCCAGCCTTTTTGACTACCCTGAACTTGAGGTTGGATTTGTTGCCAGAATTTAACCACATGTAACTGGTTTCACAGTTTAAGGTGGCAGAAAAAGGAAGGAAATTACACTTTGAAATCTACAGTTTCGAGTGTCTCTTCTGTAGGCATTAGCATTGTCATCTATTTGCAATAGGTAGAAGAAGAACTTGAGTCACTGAAAAAAGATTCACAAACCCAAAAACAACTGCTTCAACAACACCAAAATAGGTACCTGTTCTCCATTTTTTATTAATATAACATAAATAGATGTTTTCTCACATGTTCCACAGATAGTTCTTTTCTGATGATGACAATTGGGGGGTGGTGGAATTGGCTGTGTGGGCAGCAAGCAATGTTTTAGAGGACTTAATAATTGTTCCACTCCAGATGTTTCATTACTCTTGACTTTCTGTTGCTTTTTCCTTCCACGCTGACAATTTCCTGTTTTATTCACTGCATCAAAAACTACTATTTCAAAAGAATCTCTACACCTTAATTTTCTAAGTGTGATTGGCTATTTAGCTGGACATCTAGAATTTGTTGGGAGACTAGTTCCACCATTGAAAGAAAAGATTGAAAGCAATCACTTTGGTAGTTGCATCAACTTTTTCTCATTAATTTCACGAAGAGCTTTATCCTTCCCTCTTTAAGAAGTCCTAATTTCCCCACCTATCTACCTGAATTATATGGTAACCTGTTCAAAATATAAAGGTCAGTAACTCAATACATAACATTTCATTCACAATAGGACATCAAAATGGTTAGGTTTCTGAATACTGGAAAATATCATTATGTTTTCAGTGCAGAAGTTAACTTCTTGACAAGACTAAAATTGTAACCAGTATTTTCTTTTCGAAACAGGATTGAGGAACTAGTAAGTGAGCATGAACAGGAGGTGGCAGCACTGACTGATAAAGCACAATGCACATAGCTGTGCAAATAGCATGGAAAGCCAGATGGAGATCATTCAGTATGTTTTGTGATTATAGTATAGAAAATGTTAAGGGTAACCTTAACTTTAGAGAAAGCTTATGCTGCTTATATACTCTGCTATCTGCCCTGCGCTTTTGGTTTCTTATTTCATTGCACTGTGACCTTTGCCTTTTAAATGCTCTATGGATTCAGATATAAAATTAATTTCCAGCAGCATTTTCAGTTGACTCACAAACAAGGATGGGTAAACAGTTGGGTTGTTTGCATACATGTACAAATAGTAGTGAATAATAATTTTAAAGAAAGGGTAGTTTCATTTGGGATAAATAGATGTTTTGGTTCTGTTGACTTTGGTAACAATTGAGTGAGAATATAAAGACACTAATTCTCATCAGCCACTTGACAACTCAGAAATCAGTCCTCAGTATATCAGCTAAAAAAATGAGGACATGCCATGCAGTGTTGCAAGCCTAAGATGAGATTAAAATGTGAGTATGCATTAATATCTGATTTGCATGGTTGAGACCATGCAAAAGCTTCTCATTTCTGCTTGTAGAATAGTTTGGGTGCATTTGAAAGCAGACTTGCCTTTCTTAAAACTTGCTTGGGAATAAATGAGTTCTTATCAGGAACAAAAAGCAGCAGGATTTCGATTACATAATTTTATCTGAGATGGATATCAGAGAGCAAATCTGACCAGTAAGAGGGTGTAATTTTTATGTGATCCCACTGCGAGTGATAATCCTACTTCAAAGCAGTGAGTTTCAGTGATCATAATGATTGCAGTGAAAACCACAAGATGTTTCATACTTCCATGGTTCTTACAGTTTCTAATTTCTCTACCTAAAAATCTTCTTAGAGAGCAGACAAGAAATCAGAATTCATTGCATGCACATCAAGTTAGTCACTTGGAATCTACAGTTTCTGAGCTGCGTTCTGAACTACAAGAAGCTAAGAGGATATATGAAGACAAGGTATGTGTATGGATTTCTGTGTTAACATTAGTGCCAATGAAACTGTGTAGGTGCCTGGAATGTTCTAGGTATATAAGAAAAGTATTTTTATAAGGGCTGGCTTCAGAAAAACTGTGTGTACAATAAGATAAATTACATCATCCTTGAGTTGATTTGTTTGTATTAGTTTTAAGAACACATTATCTTTCTTTTTAGCACTAAATATCTCTGCAAAACTCACTGAACAAAATAGTTTTGCGAAGTGTATTGAGAGCATACCATAATGATGCCTTCTGGAAATAAATAAAATGATTTTGCACTGCAAACATCACTTGTACATGGAGGACAAGAATGTTGTTGTACTGTACTGCAAGAAAATATGTCAGCAAAAACAGGCAGTAAAAATGGCTTCTTATTTATGTTGTACTGCCCAGAAAAGTGTTTTGGTAACTTTTTGTCTTGGTAAGTGGAAGGATGGGAGGACATTGAGATTACAGCAGTGCTTGAGAAGCATTCAGGTGCCCGGAGATGCCCCATCTGTGAGTTAAGAATCTTTAACATTTATTGAAATCCAAAGGCAGGATACCAGCAGGATACAATACAGGCAAAACAGAGGGTCTGGCCAGCACCTGTGTATTCAAACTATTTCTTAATCCTGTTAGAAAACATTAATCTTGACAATTTTTTTTTAACCCTGCTGCTCCCTGAAGCCCAACTCATTTCCAGGTAGCACAGCATGGAGTTACTACCAACAGATAGAGAGAACGTCTTACAGTTACACACAAAATCTCTGCCATGTCTTGCAGTGCAGCATTTTGTATCCCATTTCTATATCACACCCACTGCATCTTTCGGTTATTTCACTGCTTTTGTTTCCAGTTTTATAAACAATTTGAATAGCTTTAAATTCCTTCTTATTTGGGGTGAAAGATAATTTATGTTTTCTTTAGAAAATTATCTGAAAACAGTTACTGGCCACTCTCTTTAAAAATCAGTGGAGCTGATCCATGCAGAAGTGCTTGATGGACCCAAATCTGTCTTAGATTACAAGTCATGAGGATGTAAGCATCCTTCTCCAACATACTGTTAAAAAAGGAAAGTTCAGGTCACAGGAGTTCCATGAAGTTTGGCAGAGCTCGTGGTCTCTGATCCAAAAAGGTCTGAGAATGGAATGGCAGGGATGCGCAGGTCAAGCCAGTAAAGCAATGGTGCGTGTGTACTTGCAGTATAAAACAGCAGGAAGGACATGGTGGTTTATCATTTCCATAGGTTTCCACTCTGTCAATCCCATTGATTGACATGCATTAAAATTTACATTAGTCAGTTCCAAAAGTAACTTTTCACAGCTTCATAACTGACCTGTAGGGAATTTGTAAATAAATATCCATTATTGTATGTCATCCTCAAGGAGGGTACAATGTATGGTATGTTTTCATGTCAGCTTTACCTGAATTCTTTTGATTCAAATCATGCAATGCATAGCATAAGATAGTATCAAATTTATAGCTCTAACTTAGTGTATACTCCATAGGCATGTGTCCCTTCCAAAATGCTTACCTTGTAACAGATGTAAAATTGGAAACTGGGAATCAATTTAAGCCTACTTTTCACAGTCTACCAACTCCAGAAAATGTTTGGGTTGTATATCTAGGAAAGAATACGCTACTTTATCCAATAAAAACTGCTTTTCAAAAGGAAGTGTAATAAACTGAATCGCTAAGGGAGACTTTAGTGAGAGACCAGTTGATAGCTGGAGATAATTTGATCTTAGGTTGTCATGTGGAGTCATTCCTTGGAAGATGTGAGAGAGAATCTAAATAAAGGTTTTATAAATGTATGTCTTGTTTTTACAACATGCCTTCCTCCAGGGCTTCTCTGGTGGGGTAAAAACCTTAACAACTAAAATTTTCAAGAGAGTAGGTAGAAGCTAAAGCCAAAGATGAAGTTAAGCATCAGTTTCAGTATGAGGAATGACTGAGCTAATTAGGACTCTTCAGCCTGGAAAAAGGATGTTACATAAATGAGATTTACAAGATCAGAACCAGTGTGAAAAGGATGACTGAGCATGAAAGGATGAAAAGGGTGATACCTCATGGTCTGTTCCAGCGTAAAATCTTGGGATCGTTAAAAGCAAGGTTTAAAAAATCAGAAAAGCGTGTTGGTTCATGCAACAGGCAGTAGACATGGGGAGGGTCCTGCCAAAGTATGTTGAAGTTGCAACAGCTTGCAGAATTGGGCAGGGCTAAGAGTAATGCTCCATCCCTGGTGTTGTTCAAGACAAGGCTGGACAGAGACTTGGGTGACATAGTTTAGTGTGAGGTGCCCGTGTCCATGGCAGGGGGGGTTGGAAGTAGGTGATCTCAAGGTCCTTTCCAGCCCTAGCTACTATTTTATGGTATAAGTTGTTGATACGAGACAGTTTCAGCAGTCAGAAAAATGTGGTACTTTAGTGGATATAAATCTAAACATGTAAGTGATCTGTTTGCATATACGACATAAAACCTGCTGTTAGACTTCAGTGTGTCTGGTGAATTTCACTATATCATTAAACACAGAGTGAATATGGCTGAATATATGCTTGGGACAAACTTCTCCCTAAATTAACTTAATTGTATAGGAAGGGCCCTATGTGAGAACAGCTCTTTCTGTCACTGTCAGAGAAAGCCCTGTTGATAATGTTGTACACAGTTATTGAGCTCTGTAGAGGGTGTACTTAAGGTTTAAATTTTCTGTGGACATATGGAGTAGTTGTGTAAGGAGGGATTCAGGGAGAAGTGGCCTGGGATTTACTGAGATTTCTCCTATTGGAGGGTTCCACAAGATGAGAGGAACCCCTTTCAGAAAGGACCTAAGCCCATTACAGGAGGAAGAGGCCCTCAAAATGTCCTTCCACTATTTAGCCATTGGAGCTCTAGGAGGAGAACCAGTTCAGTTTTGGGGAAGAAACACTTCATAAGAAGATCTTCAGAACTTTCCCTTGACAACATCTTTTCATCATGATGTGCCCAACCTCCAGTTGATGAAAGACCTGAGTTTTTGGCACTAACCCTGCATAAATGGGCCATTAGTAATTAAAAAGAATTATGTCTTCATTATAATCAGATGCATGAAAGAGGGGAGCAGAAGAGGAAAGAAAGAGATGAATGGTTTTGTCACAAGCTGAAGAAACATTTTTAAGTTAAGTAGAAAGGAAATGCCCAGATTTTGGTGGCAGCCAAAAGAGAGATTGCAGATCCTGAAGTGGTTGTTAGAAGAGTGCTAGTTAGGAGATTTCATATATTCTTATTGAATGATTCCATATAGATTGTGTTTTAGTCATACTTGCATTATGTTGGCTTTTCTAACTAGTAGTATTGCAAATCAAGCAAGGAGCTTGAACTTTTTTTCTCAAGTGGCTGTTTTCCTGTTCCTTTTAACGTTTACAGTGCAGGTAAGGAATTCTTAAAGAGCTGTGGATCATGGTGGAAGCCAGTTCATTCTCAGAAACCTCAGCTAACTCTGCAATGAAATTGATCTTAGTCGCTGAAAAACAACACAGTTCTGAATACACCTAGGGAATCACTGCTGAGCTAAAAGATGATGTTTGGTCTTCTTTTGAGTAGAACCTAGAAGGACAGTAGAGAAAATCCAATGTAGTATTTAAAATAGAATATGTTAAGGTAATTATTAATGAATATTTTTCTTTATTCTAGGTCAAGGATCTTGAGAAGCAGTTGCACCTAGTTCGTTCTGAGGTGATAGAAGCTCAGACAGAACAGGATCAAAGCAGCCAAGAATCTGGATATCCAAATAACCAGACTCATCAGTTACTGGTAAAAACAAGTGATCATATTGAAAAGAATCTTGCTTTCTAAAAGCCTCTCTCTACTGATGGTGTTGAGATTTGCTCATTGTTTGTTTATGAAGTGCAGCAGCCCCCTTATAATTAAGTATGAGGATTATTTTTTATTCTTTTATGAGGATTATTTAGAAAATTGAATTAGCCATCAAGAAAATTTCCCAAGGCCTTTGCCATTAGCAGTGCAGGACATCCTATATTAAGATTAACTTTGTCAAAAACACAAAACCCTTGAATCCTATGCAAATCATATTAAAGATGCTGAGCCACCTTCACTTTAACCTCACAGTTTAGGTCCCTCTGTTCAAGAACCTTGATTCCTTAACACACTTTGCAAGACATATCTGGGATTTTCCTAATAGCACTAAACATTCCTTTATAGCTGATTGAGAATATTCACAAATTGGACATCATACAGTATAAAAAAGCTTTGCCACATAGGGTTGATTTCACCACAACTGGCTTCATGTACTATAATTAGCCTTGCTTTTCTTCTTACACAAGATTATTCCTTAATGACTGAATTTTGGGATATTAGTTTGTGTGGTTTCATTAGGTTTGTTTGCCTAGTTATTGTCACGGTGCTCTGAAAGAGATGTTGAAATAATTTCATTCCATACTGCATTCTCCTACTCAAGGGTATGTTAGTGTAAATCTTTTCCTACAGAATGTTACATAGCTATTGAGAAGACGAGTCAGAAAAATCATTGTATAATTGAGGGTTAGGAAACTTAATTTAGGATTCCTTTTGTTTCTGTCTTCAGCTCATGTTTTTATTCTGACATTCTCTGAGCTTCCTAGTTCGTTTTCTACTTCCACTTTTACAATATGCAGATGGTTACAACAGCAAAAGTTATGATTAGCAGAAATGCCTATTGATAATTCAGTTTGTGCACATTTTAAATTTATATTTTCAAAATGAATAGCTCTGAAAAGTCAGGATTTTTTAATAATATTAACATTTTAAATTATCATTTATAATTTCAGTTATGGACTGTTACATCTGAAGTAGAAAACATTTAAGCTAGGGGGAACATGTGGCAAATTGCTTCATGAGATGAAACGAGCAATTCTTATTGGTGGTAAAGATGGATATTTATCAAGAGCAGCCTTCCTTGGAATGCAGTGTGCTTCATTGTTTTTCATTTGATACTGACACAACACAAACGTTTTTAATTTTGTAGCTTACACTGATTTTGGAATAGATATAAATGACATGAAAGACTTCAGTGCTGAGGTGTTACATGCTTCAAAATAACTATAGCAGCAGTATATGAAGTTGAAACTTACTGCTTTGTTGGAAGAAAACATGTAAGAGGTGTCAGACTTGTTTAGCCAATATTCCTGTCTTCTGCTAAGTGTAAATCCATACAGTAGTCCCTATTCATTTATCAAATTGTATAATTGAATGTTGCTGATGTTAAGAGAAAGAAGAAAAAAATCCTAGATGTGATTTAAAGAGGTAGGTGACTTTAATTTCTTGTAGCTTGAACTTCGTAAAAAAGAGATAGAACTAAGTCTAGAGAAAGAGCAGAACAAGCAAATCTGGGATCAAAACACAGACAGCAGCATCACCATTGACCATCTAAGGAGACAACTAGACAACAAAACCAAGGAACTTCAGTGTATGGAAAACACAGCAAAGGAAATGAGGACTGAATGTCAGAGTCAACTGGAGTACCAGGTTGGTGAGCAGCTGCGATGTGATAGTGTTCAGAATAGAAAGAGCACCAAATAGGGGCTTTACTTGAGGTAGAAGCATTGTAACTGGTTACCATGGGATGGCAGACCTCTCGGGCTAACATGGTAAAAATTTGCTCCCAAAGATGCAGATACACAACACTCAAAATCTGCATTTTTCCCCTATTTTTTCTCCATTTTTTCCCCTTTTCTGACCTGTTCAGCCCTCACTTCTCATTACTTATGAAGATGTAGAACCCTTATTTAAATTTTGATTTTTGACATACAAGGCTTAGGAGAAAGTAAATGTTCTGCTGATCGTGTGCTTGATTTTGACTATAAACCTCTGACACAACCTTGTGTAAATTTCCAGAAAGTTTGATGTTGGCAGATGTAACAAACAAACTATTGAAGGTAGTATTTTCTGTAAGAATAATTGGTAAATGAAAGGCCTTCATAATGCTTTCATTTATGTAGTGCTTAATGAAAACATAATGTTTATGTTTATAAACCTAAGCTGAATGCAGTGCTATGTCAGAAAGAATTAATTCTGACAAAGTAGATTCCTAGACACTGACTTGTAATACATTCCTCTTTCTTCAAGACTTCAGCCCCTCAGAAATGAGCTGTAATTAGGTACCCCTCTTTGCATTATGGGTAAAGATCAAGCTAATTACTTTGTATTTCGACCAAACTACAGGCTTGTGCTACCTCACATAGCCTTCTACATTTTCTCAATCCATTATTTTTCCTTTAAAATCCTCCCACCAGGAAGTTCATTTTTTTCTCCTGTTCCTATTTTATACTATTAGCATATCCTGAGTCACAGTACTTGATGCTTTAAATGATGCACATTGCTGCCTGCAGGAATAAAATCAGTATAAATTATTCATGTACATACCTTTCCCCCCCCCCAACTTACAATGCTGTCAGTCGAGTTCTAACACTGAAAGTTCTTTTGCCTCAGCTGCTCTAAATTTCATACTAACATTGCAGGTTTGTGGTTTTGTTGGTTTTGGTTTTTTCCCATCAGTTTAACCTTTTCCATTTTCTATAATAAACCCCAATATTCTAAGCAATTCTTAACTTATTAAGATGGGGAAAGGAAAGAAAACAAGAAGAATCACAGTCATTGTAGACTAGATCATGCTGACCTAATTTTCCTGTAAAGCCCAGATGTTTTAAGGTGAACTCTAGAAAAATAGAAATGTGACAGAAAGTTTTAAAGGTAGAAATTAAAGTTTCTCTTGGTTGATCTTTATATTTCTGTTATTCAGATGGATGCAAATAAGGAAAAAAATGAAAGCATTGGAAGAATCTCCTCTTCGACTGTCCAGCTGGAGTCAACCAAGGAAACGCTCTGTAAAGTTAAAGAAGATCTTACAGCCAAACAGATCGATTTGGAGGTTGCTGAGAAAACAGTGTCAAGTCTGACAGCCTGTCTGCAGGAGAAAGAGAGAGCCCTTGATGCTACCAGTGAGGAAATTGAGAAGCTGCATTCACAACTTAGCAGTAGGATGCAGGAGTTCCAGCATCTAAAGAATGAAGAGGACCGTTTACATTATGTGCAGTCAGAGTGTGAAACACTGAAACTGCAGATATCAGAGAAGGAAAGGATTATTGAGATCTTCCAAAAGCAAATTGATAACATGACCAAGATTGTGAGCCAGCACAGTCGAGCTGCTAGAGCAATAGAAATTGAGAAATCCCAGCTTATAAAAGAAATAGATGACTGGAAACTCAAAGCAGAAGAATTTAAGGTGTGCAAACAATGCTTTATTTATGTCTTTGTAATACAGGAAATATTTTCTGGTTTTAAATGTCTGTCTTAATGTGCTAATACTGTGGTTTTAATGCAGATCAGACAATGCACCTTGAATCCTAGCAGCAATAAAAGAGTTAGTGGGCAGAGAGAATATTTCCACCAAAAATGAATAATTCACTGGTAAAAAGCAGTTGCCAAAAGGCTTCTGAAAGCTGGAATATAACATGCTCTCCTCAGTGGTACAGTTGTCCACACCAGTAACAGAACCAGAAATACAAAGTGTTACTGAAAAATAATACACAGTAGCACTCAGAATTCCAAACTGAAGACACTGTTTAGAACTACTTATTACTCTGACAAGAATTACAGGTAGGACAGTCTTATGCAGGTCAGTATCTTCAGAACAAATTCACTCCAGATGGAGAATCTCATTCTCTTCTGTGAGAATTAAAGGTGAATATGGAGGTGCTACTAGTAAAGGATGGAAATGATTTTCATACAATGTACCTGCTAAGTTTAAACATGCTGTAAACCATGAGATCAGTTTCTGTTGCACCCTTTTGCCTGGATTAGCAATTTTCACAGAACTAATCTGTCCGCTTTACTCTGATTTTCTTTCTTGCCTCAAACTCTTCACTGACAACCAAGATTTAAAGTAATGATGATGTCTGCCCATCTTTGTGCTTATTTTATATAATTATGTGTATTGCACATAGTTAACATTGTCTTTTATGTAACTAGATTGCAAAGGATGAGAAAGAAACCAGAATACATGAAATGGAAGCCTGACTGAGTGAACTGGAACTGGAGAAGGTTAAACTGGTTAACACCTGCACTGAGAGGCTCCATGCACTTAACGATATGAAACTGGAAAAAGACCAGCTAATGAATGAACTTGAAGCCAGTCAGGGTAAGCTAGCTGGCCTTGCTGGTAGGGAGCTTCAACTTGGCTCAGCTCTGATAGCCGCTAAATTGGGCTGGTGTTAAAAATAGAAGAGCAGCTTGCTTGCTGAATCCAAATATGGCTGCTGGTACAGCAGAACGTTCCCTGCCAGCAAGGGGTGGTCAGGTCACTTCAGAGAGCTGTGTCGATTTGGGATTCTGGCACACAATGGGGGAAATACAATCTTTATGCAGTCTTTCACTACCCTGACCAAAAGTACTTAAACTGCCTGGCTCTGGAGATGAAAGAAACAGACGTAGTAAATCACAGAACAGATATTCGACTGCTTTTTCCTGAGTGTTATTAAAGAGCACTAGGGGATCCTATTAACAGTCTGTGATTAAATTACAGTGGAACTTTCTCTTTTGTTGTAGCTTTGCTACAATGTTATTTAGAAATTTTTATGTTGTAACTCCACTGTTTTCAGAAGTAATGTGAGGGAAAGCAAATCAAGATAATGTTAAAAAAAATAATCAAAAGTAAGGTCTGGAGCTAAGCCAACCACCAAAATTCAGGGGGATCCTCTGCTTAATCTGCACTGCAGCCAGCCAGATGATACTGTTCACATGTTTTGTTCTCTACACACCCCCCTACTCTCATAAAATTCCCATTTGGAACATGGATGTCCTCACTTCTAAACTTACTAAGTTTTGTAAGAATTAAACAGAGCCTGTGTGTCTGCCCTAACTTTGTACAGTACTATCAGGGTGAATGAGCTTTAAGAAAGGCTTATTGGAGTGAATGACCACAGAGAAATTAAGGCCAAGCTGTTGATAGAGGCTGAGCTCACAGCTGACTGGCTTGTAGTGGTGTGGATGACATAAGAGTTCCAGAGAAATAAGAAGAGCAGAGCTGAGAAACAGAGTTACAGGGGAATGGTTGACAAATTAGATCAGTTCAGCCCTTGGTTATAGGCGTGTCTGGGAAAAGAATGACCAGGGTAAAATGCTGTATATCACCAATACCCTTAACTTTCACAGTATGCACTTGGGTCTAGCAGCAGAATTCAGAAACATGGGTTTATATCATTTACTTGAGCTGTTGCTTTGGTGAGCAACCAAAGAACAAATTTGTTACTGGTGAAACAGAAGCTTTTGGTGACATGCAGGACAATGAATTGCTAGTTGTGCATTTGTTAGTTATTTGCTTTATGTCTTAGCTATCTGCATGTCTCATACTCCTTTTAAGAGAGTAGGTGGGAGATTAGTAATCTTGGCTAGAAGAATGATAATTTTTTGTCACTATAATTTCAATCTTACTCTCACCAGAGGGATTTGAAGATTTGAAGAGGGACTACCAGGATAAAATCAAGGAGATGGAAAATACAGCAAACAGGCTGAAAATGCAGTTGAAATCTGCCCAAGCTGAATTAGAACAGACCAGGACTGCTCTAAAGGCTATGGAAGGATATGATGGCAATGGTAATTATGGATCGAGCTTCCCCAGAATCACATAATTTATATTTTTAACGAGGGGATTTTTCTAACTATTGATCCCTCAATAGATACTATAATAATATTCCAGATGTTTTGTGAAATAAATAATCAGTACTGCAGATAACAACATACTTTTTTGTTAACCTTTTACTACATACTGTAAAACTTAAATGAGAAGTTGAGTTTCCTCAGGTGATCTTTATGCCTATTTCTAGGCTATGCTCTCTTTTCATCTTGTGAGTGTGATGGATCTGGTGTCACTACCATGGAAAACTCCAGCTAATGCTAATATTTGGACACTTAAGTGACTATGGAATCCTGGTTCGACTTACTTATTCTAACATATTGCTGATAACCAACTTCCAGGGTCTTTTGACAGAATACTTAATCAATGTTGTTCATTGAGAATGAACTTTGTCTTTTGTAGCTATGAAAGTTGCAGTGGGAATGCAGAAGCAGATCACAGCCAAGAGAGGACAGATGGATGTGTTACAGAGCAAGATTAAATTCTTGGAAGAAGCAATGACAAATGCAGCTAAGGTCAGAAGAGCTCCCTGTAAAAGTGTTTAACTGTATTTAGAGAAATTTGTATTTAGAGAAATGCAAGGCCCAAAGCACAATTGTCCCAAGAAGGACCAAAGAGAATTTGGTGTAATGGTCACCTACCCTGTCCTACCTCTAACATATATGAGGGAATATCTCCACTACATAAATAAGCCTTTTGCATAAAGACAGGTTTTAATTTATAGTTATTCTCTGTGAAAGAACAGTACTGGTTTCAGTAAGAAGCAGGTTCTTACATACCCATTCTTTTTAAAAATGTCACCTAATGCATTCTGTATCCTTCTGAGTGGATCTAAAATCTGAGATGTTATCTCATTGTGACCAGTCCAACTGTGCTTTTATTTATAAGAGCTATCTTCTTGCTGCAGAAACCTCATCTTTCTGTAAAATGCAATAGCTAAGCTTCTGAAAGGGTTGATTCACATCTGTCAAAGAGAAAAAAAATCAGAAAACAGATATGTATAATGTAGATAGTTACGAATTTTTGACTCATACTTTTTATCCTCATCTTAAATTCAGGAGAAGCATTACCTCAGAGAAAAAAATAGTAAACTAGGTCAAGAATTGAGCTATATTACAGCAGAAAACACCAGGATTGCTGGGGAACTGGAGATCCTGCGATCACAAGACAAACTTCTAAAAGAAAAAATATCCAAGATGGAGACAGCCCTTGATAAGGTAATTTAAGGTGCTTTCAGTGAGACCTTCCTTTTTAGGAAGAGAATGTCTGACCTCTTACCTAGGTTGTATTTAAGTATGTCCTATTCACAGGTACTGTAAGATTCTTACCTAAAGGAAGATCTGTAATTAAGATCATCTTTTGGGGTCTTTTTAATGATAACAGTCTTCTGTTTTCATTAAGAGAATTCTTGACTTACTCCTTACTATTTTAGGGAAATAAAAGCTGCAGGGAATTTAAAACAGATTAGGCTGACCTTCTAGACCTGCCTCTGGGTCTTTGGCACAAAGAAACTCTTCTGTGGAGAGAGGGACAATTATTCAGTATAACAGGGGTCCACTGAAATTAAGCATTGGCACACCCAGACTCAGCACACTTCTTCGTGCTCCTTCTCTGCTTCTTTCTGTGCTTTGGCCTAGAGCTTCCACTCTTCTTTCTATCCTGATAAGCCCTCAGTGAAAAATAGCTCCATAATTAGATTTTTTCACACCTTTTCAGGCTAAACTTGTAAAGAAGAAAGAATATATAACAATGAGACACGTCAACAAAGTTATCAGCCTCCCATTTTAAAACCTCGGGTTCTGCCACACTAACACAGTTGAATTTTCTAATCCCAGAGGTGTTCAATAGGTCTAGGACTGTTCCTGAAAGGATTAGCTCCCTTCTGTGATATCATGGTGTGCATATTATGACTACTAGGATTGTGTAACAGGTGAGTTGCTTTTGTAAGTCTCTCAAGAAAGGTATCTGGTCATATTGCAGTATTTCTATACTGATAGCAGTAGATAAATACAGCATCTCTCTTTGTACCTTGTTTCTTTATGAGAAAGAAAATAGAAAAGACTGCAATCCACAGAAAGTTAGCAAAATTAATGCCTCTTTTTTCCTCTCTTACAGGCATCGCTGCAATTTGCAGAATGTCAGTGCATAATCCAGTGTCAGGAACAAGAAGCAATGCGTTTCAGACTGCAGCATACTTTAGATGTAAAAGTATGTTATTGAGAAGCATGGGTATAAACTTAGACGCATTTGCTTTGTGTCCTGACTTCATGCTTAACCCTATTTATTGCCAAGTACTCTACAAAGCTTGTGTTCTGAAACCTCTTTTTACATGTTCTCCATCAGGGACTGTAGCGATAAGACAAGGGGTAATGGGTTTAAACTTACACACGGGAAGTTCAGGTTAGATATAAGGAAGAAGTTCTTTACTGTGAGGGTGGTGAAGCACTGGAACAGGTTGACCAAAGTGGTAAATGTTCCACCCAGGCAGTGTTCAAGGCCAGGTTGGACAGAGCCTTGGGCAATGTGGTCTAGAGTGTGGCGTCCCTGCCCATGGCAGGGGGGTTGGAACTGAATGATCTTAAGGTCCTTTCCAACCCAAGCCATTCTGTGATTCTGTGATTCTATGATTGTTGCACAAGTAATGTCCATAATTTCAGTTACTTTGAAGTGCTATGTACAGTAAGAGCAATAAAAAAAATCAATAGCTACAGGAATACTGGATCGTATGCTTCAGCTGCTGGGCTTTGATTTTAGTGACACTTCATCATTTTCTTGCAGCCTTAGGCAAATAAAAGCAAGAAATGTTAATGGCATTATGATGGAAAATGAATTGGAGAGGTCTGAAAGGATGTCTTTTACTAGTGTGAACTGTTACAGCTAGAAAGCACTAACAATCTTTGGGGCACTCACATCCTTCTTCAGGCCTGAAGTAAAACCAGCAACCTTAAAGCTACATAAAGGTTGGAAACAAGGACTCTGAGAATCTGATTATGCTTATTAAGTTAGGCAGCACCAATGAAAATCATGTTTAAGACACCAGGAGAGATGTTAGCAGTGAGAAAGGAAATACAGTCATGAGACATCTGGGACAGAAAAAGGAAAACTTGTAATTGACATCTGTCAAGCTATAGAGCAGTAGTGAAAGATGGGGTATAGGGAAAGTCATTGCAGTAATGAAAAGCCAGTATCTGTGTCATAGAGCCTAGAACTTTCATTGCCCAATAGATTCAGTCCAATCTCTACCTTTACTAATGAGTTTAACAGAGAATATTACTTGCCTTTGCCTTACTTGTAACCATAGACTATTAAGGCTGCAATGAAACTACTGCTAGAAATGAATGAAACACTTGGAATGGAATTACTGTTAATTTTAGTGACCCACCCCAATTGCTAGTTTTGAGTGAGAAACAAAATGTTATTTTTAAAATGCCACTCTACATCGGAGTGATATCCACCTCTGGTCCAGTAAATACTTCATATGAACAATGGCAAAGGCAGGAAATCTCTTACTGAAATGAAAGAAATTCTCATGCAAGTGGGAAAAAAGAGGTACAGGAACTGTGAGACAGTTCAATTTTGTGATGGCCCTGAGACCTCCTCCATTTGAATGGTTTCAGACTGTATATTAAAATTCTGAGAAGAAATGAAGCTACCACTCCTGCACCTGATACAGTCACTAGAAGATTTATGTCTGAGAACACCTAATAAACGCTAAGAAGTGTCTGAAAAATGAGTGGTGCATATTATAAGGTATTTGGCTAAGAGATGCCCTGTTACAGAGGGCATGATGCCTATACCTGTTTATTCTGCTTAGCTGTACTTGCTTATTCTGCCTGGCTCATGTTTTTCCACAGGAGCTGCAGGGCCGAGGCTACTTGGCACCTTTTCCTTCAGGCAAGCTGCGGCACATAGTGCCCCTTTCCCACCTGCACTCAGCTGTCATGCCACCTTCCCTGAATTTGGCCAGCTGTGTCACTCAAGTGAGTACCTGTCTCAAGATGGGAGACTGCACAGGAAACAGGGATGTTCCAAAAAGTAAAAAAAAATGTGGGATTGATAAATGGGAGAGCATCTAGTAGGATTGTCCAAGAGTGAATTCTTAACACCAGAGATGAAAAAATTTTCTATAGCTTCTTGTATGCTAGGCCCTTTCAGATTTTCTTTCTTTTTATATGCAAAAAACAACCAGACAATAAAAAAACTCTATGGATTGTAATAGGAGTTTATCTTACCTCTATCACCAATGACATTTATAATCTGTTAAAATTGAAGGTACTGATCTGTAAGCAATTTGTTCTTCAGTTGTTTTTTTTTTGTTGGTTTTTTTTTTTTTTTTGCTATTACTCTACTTGCTGTAAATCCTTTACATTTGGCAGTGAAAATAGACTGGTACATAATTTCTGATAAATTTCATCTGATTCACCTGTAGTAGCTTTTAATACTTAAATCTTTCTCCAAGCTGGCTTTTACTATGACCAATTTTGTCCTAAAAGACACATCACTGTCCTTCCTTTTTTTTTTGTTTTTGTACATCTTTAGGTACTAGTGTTCTGTTTTTTCATTACAGAATAGATCAACTCAAATCTCTCATGAAAAAATATAATCTTTGGTATTTTATGTGTAGATTTTATCTCATTCTCCAAAAGGGACCTGATGTATCTCCCGTAGAAATTGGTAGAGGTTTTTTCATTAATTTTTACCTCAAAATCTGTAGGAAACTACAAGCTACTGCAGATATTTTTCAATAATATTTTCTGTTTTACTTTCTGATGTGGTGACAAACATTTACATCAAAGAACAAAGGAGAGTTAAGTCTGTAAACTCCCTGCAGTATCAGGTACTCCCCTTCTCTTTACTTTAATCAATGTATACTTCTGATGGTAAAGTAAAATTTTTAATGTAGTACCATGGCAACAACCTAAGAGGTCATAAGAGAACTTTATTCAAGGTCTTACTTGAATCTTCTTGGCTCCTGCATGATTAGTTATTGTACAAAATGAAGCAGCTCTGTCATGTGAGACAGAGACCCTACCTGGTCGATAGCCTGGTTTCTTAGCCAGAGTTTGGGAAAGATGGATTTGGTCTAAGTATCACATTGACCCGTTACAAAGCTGAGGAATTGTTCTCCATAGAAGCTCTGCTGAAACTAGTGTGTTCCGATTGGAAGTAACTTTTTCAATGAAAGCATGCTAGCAAAATGTTTCTAGCCAGTTCCATCCACAGATGAAGCATAACTCAGTAGGAGCAGTGCTTTGAACATGAGAAGTGCTTGAGTAGTCTGAAAAATCCAGTTCTGCCTGTCAAGAGAGGATTCTTTGAACCAGGCCTTTGCCTCAAGTCCCAGTTAGTAAAATGAGAATAATACAGCACTTCATCTCAGAGCATAGCTGTGACAATGAAGTGGTTTATATTTGCAGACAGCTCAGCTGTGATAGAAATGAGTGCCTAGACAACACCATGGTACAACAATTTCAATCTTCAGAGCTGTGTTTGTGTACTGGACAGTAATACCTGGGGTCACAGGTCAGAAAGGAGCAAACGTGGTTGTCACATAAGCAATGATTACTGGTGCTGCATACTGAAAAAGGTAATGGTTGTAGAGGGGTGGGGGGGAAAACTTTCATAATGAAAGGCTTACTTTAATGTTTTTACCCTTGAAACAGTAGTCATAACCTTTTTACAATATTTATTGAAAATGCAGCTGTTAGCCATATCCTTCCTCAGTCGTATTTAGTTGCTTTACACATTGCTGTCAGATAACTTCCAGATAAGAGTGCAGTCATATTTGGAGAGTATTTTGACAGTTTTCCCATAATCAAGTCTAGCCTTCAACACTTCTGAACTAAAATGACAAGAAATCTGCCTTGTTTCTAACTGTGAAGACAAGAGCATGGGGAGGGGAAATATGTGACTTTGGATGAGTATAGGAAGGAACTGAAAAAGAGAGTACCTTTATAAATACTTTGTAACTGAAATTTATTTCAGATGTCTTTCAAACCAGACATTTTTAAGGATGAACCATTGCAGGATCTAAAGAGGATTCTTCGAGAATTAACAAGCTCAGGCAACAATATTCCGTCTGTGGATCTTGGCAAGGATGGCAGCAATGGTGGGAGAAAATCACCTTTAGCAACCGTGTAAGAGTATTACTTCTGTTGCATGGTGTGTACTTGTCTTGCCTTTTTAAACTGGGATCTGGATATTTGTGTGCCTCAGAAGCAAACCTTTTTGGCAAGAAAATAGGGTTTATAAGTTAGCTTGAGTTAACCTGAAAGCTTCCAAAGATTCTGTTGTTTTCAAGGTTCCTCAGATGCTTTAGGTGGTAGCGTAATAGAAGGTTACTACACCATTTGCCTTTATTGTTTGCTTTTGGATGTTTCTCCTTTTGTTTTCATGTAGAACTCTGTTCCTCCTTTGCCTTGTGCAAATATCTTTCCTTTCATTGTTGTAGCAGCTAATTACTAAACAACTGGTAATGGCCTGAAGTTGAGAAATCAATACAGCACAAATTCTGATATTTCTAAGCCAGAACATAAAGATACTACATAAAGGAAAATATAATTAATGGACTTCTGTTAGAATCATATTTATTTAAACCATGACACTTCTCCCATCATACACACCGTTGGAACAAAATCATATCGGTCAATATCCTATGTATTCCAGGTTCGACACTGTGTTTGGTGCTGTGTTCTACGGAAGACTAGAAGTTCCTTGTAGATCAAAACTCTGAGATAGCTTAGTGAAGTAACGATGTGTTAAGATTCATTGGTCAGGCTTGTGTCCATAATCTCCAAAGCTTGTGGGTTTATATACTACAGAATGGGTGTTAAACAAGTGGGAAGAATTACCAAAAGGCATTCATCACCTTGGCATTTTCTGGAAAGAAAAATATTGTGGTGACATCCACAAGACATGGTGGTGTAGATAGAGATGGAATAGCAGAGCTGCTGGTGGAAATGGAGCAGTTCTACAAAAGGTCAACATTAAATTCAGCAAGATTTTACTTCTTTGGAACACTACGAAGTGTCTCTCAATGCTCAATATTAGTCTAGCTGTTCGGGGTTTTTTAATTTAATTAATTATCCATTTCCATTCTCTTACCAAATACCACTGTACTCTAAAAATTTACAGTGCCTGAGGAAAGACATAGGTCCAAACCTGGAAAAGGCAAGAGTTTATGTTATGGTGAAATATGAGCTAAAAAGAGGCTGGTTTGAAGAAGCTAATTAGAAGCATTGTTGTGTGAGTAACCAGAAGGAAGACTGCAGTGGCAGTAGTTGTCTAAAGCAGTTATTGGGGTTTTTTCCACCTTTATGACTGTGAATCTAGTCATTATTTCCCCAGAGAAATAGTCTAAATTCACTATAACACTAATAGACTTCTTTTAGTGGACTCACATAACAATTTTATGATGCCTTTTCTTCACTGTTACAATGTGGCTGCCATTGTACTCTGCTTAAAAAAACAAGCTTATCTTCTAAAAATGTGAATGTCGTGATCCTACTGTCATGGCCTTTGCTGGGTTTTTGACAGTGATGTGTGTTTCTGTACAGGGAGACTACATCTAAAGACTCTGCTACTGAAAACAGCATGGAAAAGGATACTTGTGGATGGTGAGAAGTGCTTTCACTCAGCTGAGTAACCTACTTAAAATACTCATTTAAGAACAAGTTCCTAAGGCTTCTTTAATACAGTGTCACCCCTGAGCTTGTTTATGTTGGTTTATTCATAATGGTAAAGCTTCCTGGGAATTACAAAACAAAACTGTGATGTTACTTTCATCCTTCTAAGAGCTCTGGAGCTTCTTTACATCATTAGCTTTTAATTTACATGTATAAAATCTGGAGATTACATAGGAGGGCTTCACGGCTAGCTAGTATTACCAAAACTTAGCATAATACATTCAGAATGCCAGTTTTGCCATCATTTTGCTTGCAGGGATCCTTTATCCTTCCATACAGCAGATCTTCTGTCCCAAGATGTTACCCTGCCCTTTACATCCGTTGGTAAGTTTTCACTGGCTGCAGTTGAGGACGAATGTGCTGTATCAATATCAAACTGGAACATTAAATAATATTACAAAAAATGTAGTCCAAATACAGTATATTTTCTTAGGTCATTACCCAAATACCTATCAGGTTCTGTTACGAAGTCTTTACTGAACTTGCTGTAAATCTGTATTTTGTTGCAAACCAGGTCCATGCAGGTTGATACCACTGTACCGAAAATGTTTATCTTCCATGGTAGTTATTCATGAATAGTCACAGTGTTGTGTACTATGGATAATATTGTCACATTTTTGGTGCCTAAATTTAGGCTCTTGAATTCTATATTCAGATATCTAAATATGGATATGCTTTTGAGAGGAATCAGCTCATTGCAAATGCCGTTGATTTCTTTCCAAGTACTGGGTGGTCAGTACCTTTTAAAATGGGGTGACATGAGTTTAGTAATGTAACTAGAGATAGATACAGCTTTGAGCATTAGGGTTTGAAGATATCAGACTTTGACACCATCTCTTTATTTGCCCATTGATTATCCATTCTGTGAATTTTCTCTGAGATTTGCCTGCAGATGCTCATACATTTAAATATTCTCTATTATTATTTAAGCCACTGTGCTCCAGGAATAGGCTAGAACTCCTCTGTTTGTCCTGAGGAGTAACTACTATAGGTCCTCTTTTTATATTTTTGAGTATTAAAGAAAATCTCCTGGGTAGTTACTGTCAGCCTTCTAGCAAACCTACTCAACATACAGGTGTTTTTCCTAGCTCCCAAAGCAGCTGCAAGCAGGTTCTTTTACACAGAAGACTTGAGATGTAGCTCAGCACGGGGAGTTTGTTAGAAACCCACCAAATTATTTTCAAGATGTTCCAGGAGGGGGGTGTTAAGAGTATGGAAACAGACTATAAGAAGAAAAATGGAAAACCTGTAGTAACTATTCCCCTTACTAGTTGCATGCAACCTCTTCTTTATTTTTACATGCACACAGTGTGCCAGCATATGAAAGTATGTTACATAATCTGTCAATTGTGTATTTCTGTGCATGTCTTGTCTCTTTTCTTTATAACTCCCTTTCTGCCAGGAATTCAAAGCATATCAGTCACTTGTTGGAAAGAAGGGAAATAGCAGACCTGTGTAAGCAACATTATTTTTTCTGCTGCTTATACCTAAGTTATGAGATCAAAATCATAGGGGGACCATTGGGGTTTAGTACCTAGGATACTCACTACAGACACAGCAGAAAAAGCAGGCCCTGCTTTCTCCTAGGCAATTTTACTGGCTGTTCTTCACACGAGAATCACTTTAAGAGAAACAAGCATTTTGAAAAGAGGCTATACTCTCCTGCAACCTTGGTTACTAACAAGGAATGGAAAGGATGAAATAATGCAGTGATGAAGGGACCTCAACCCTGTAACTGCTACAGATATAACATCAAAGCCTGAATGGGGGTTTCTTTTGAGGTATGTGCTCACTGTTTTTTGCTTGGATATCTTCTAGGAGGTGCATCCATCTTCTCACCAGCTTCTAACTATACATCTGACCCCAAGAAGGTGTCTCAGGAGCAGAGACACAGAGAAAAGTCTCCAGTACACTTGTTGTTAACTGCTCCACCAGATTATCTTGCAGCTGGCTCCAGTGCCTCACCACAGCACAGACCATCAACACAGAAGGTCTGCTCTCCAGAGGGTGCAGCCACAGTCCCCCATATAAGTAAGTACAGTCCCATTCCCTGATCCAGAGAGCTTGGCTAGGTTTCTTCTGAGCCAGTACAGTGTGTGAGTTATAAACTGTACATTAAATTCAGCCATTCTGTAGAAATCAGGGGAATCCCACTATCAGTCACTGGTCTCTTACACTTTATGATTGTAGTATCTGTACTTCACACTGCATTTATTTTTTCATGTACCTTTGTAATACATCACTTACAGAATCCATCCATGTTGCTGAATATGAAGACAAACTCTCAAGTGTACAGGGCTGGCATGGGATCAGTCTTCCATTTATTCCAACAACTGCAATTACAGTATGCAAATTTATTGAAACATAATGTACTGAGGGTTCATTTTAAAGCACTGCTTTAGCAGCTGTGGCCCACTTACCTGTTCTTGCATCCATCAGGCTGCCTGTCACAGTTCTGTTCAAGCAGAAAGTTTATTCTGGGATAAATTAATCGTGAGTAAAATGTAGCAGCTAATGAATGTACTATACAAAGAGAAGAGAAATTCCATGCAGTACTGGTAAATTGCTTTATTTGGATAAATAATGTAGGGATGCTTAACATCAATATTTGCAGTAACAGGCATAACAGTTGCCTAATACTAAATATTTGTCATAGTTGTGGTTCCTGTAACACATTTAGGAAAGCCTTGGGGTTTACTGAAAATATTGATGTAAGGCTGTGTTTGTGTAGCTTTTAAGTGATAAAAATAAGCTTTCCTGCATCACAGAATAGGTGTGAGGGTGAAGAACATTTTCAGGGTCTATTAATGTCTATTAATGACTTGCCAGGGAGCCAGGCTATCAGGACTGCTTTATTACACTGAAGTGGCAGAAACACCCCAAAATGAATAGATGCAGTAGGAAAAACTAGATTTTCATATAATACTTAACTGACTGTCTTGTTGAAACGCTACATTTCTCTGTTTTTCAAGGTCTGAAAATACAGACACATAAGCACTGCAGGTAGGAGGGTAATAAAGATGCTGTGCACCCAGCTCTAAGCTAGAGCTATTACAGGCAGAAATCTAACCATAGCTCCAAGGAGTATTTCATGCTTCTCAGGTGGCATTTTTTTTGTAGTTCCAACTTAACTTCAGCATGTCTGTATTGTATTGTTATCTTCTGTTATAATGCAGACTTCCCAGTCACTTTATCTTTTGCATTCTTGGAACATCAGAAGCTTGTCTCTAAAACAGCTGGGCTGAGCAATCACCCTGACTAGAACATTAATATTGCTGCTCATTGACCTTTGATTCCCCCAGCTGCTTGGCTGTGTGAAGATGAAGTGCATGTTTGTTAGCTAATCTATAGTTTTTAATGCTTGTTTCACAACTAAGAAGTGCCTGCTGGTAAACAGAACATGAATGTGTGTGGCATTTCCCCATCAAAGCGCTGAATTGGCAACATGAGTGAGGTTCTTTTGTCTTGTTTGTTAATTTGGTCAGCCAGTTACCTCCACCTCTAGCTCATTTTGGGTTTGGTTTTGTTTTTTCCCCTCTTTTTATTTGACAGGAGCAAAAACGAAACAGTTCAAGTTCTGTTCAGAAAGGTCTGAAAGGGTGGGAGGCTGTAGTATGTATTGTCAGTCTGTGGGTGTTAGTGCTCAGTCCCAGAGGCACAGTGCCTTTTGAATTTTGCACTGGTCTGAATCCTCAAAGGGTTACCTTTTCTGGTTTTATTTTTGGCTTCAGTACATTACATCTTTCTATACCTTAGTTTTCCATCTATAAAATGCAACTGACACTACTGCTCTCCTTTGCACAACTCTTGCAGTTTTACTGGCAAAGAGGGACTTAGAAGTTGTGGGCATAATACTCATTTAGTAACCCTTGCTCTCCATTCCCCAAATGGGGACATTTATAGGCAAAATAGAAATGTGTTTGCATTGTCACTTAAACAGAAATCCCACTAAGTATAAATCTCTGTTAATAGCCTTCACTTCTTACTTATTTTTCTTTGTTACTGGAATTTTTATTGTTTGCAATTTTATTTTCTAAGAACGTCAGATGGAATGTTAAAATAATTTATAATGACTTTTTTTTTTAATCTGTGACAACATATTGATGAATAATTTCTCACTAGCTTCTCAGCCAATGAAAAATAGTAAGGATACACATAGGAGGCCACAGAACAAGATGAAAAGCCTGCAGAACCTGATGGGAGTGTTAAAGATAAAAAACCAAGGTACAAAGATTTACCAAAAGTATTCCTACTTTACTGAAAATACACACTCTGCAGAGACTGTTCTTGTTGCCTGCCAAAGCACTACCTGTGTTTTTGCTTTATCTAAAATGAGGCAATTTTAGATGTGCCTGGTTTACTAGCAGTACCCTGCTCCTAGGAGAAAAATTGGATTAACTCCATGATGCACTGCTGTTCAGCCCCTTAACTCTAATAAGCTTCAAGATCCTTAACATTTCAAACATGGCAGCTGGTGAGGGGTGCTGGCGTGTCCAATTAAGTGAAATTTTTGACAAGCTGATGACTCTTTCATGGAAACTGAAGGATACTCTGACAGCAGTCGACTCCAAAAATACAGTTTCCCAGCAGTGGCCTCAGAAGCATACCCTTTCTTTCCCATTTTTTTTAAATCTGAGATTACCACAATGACAATGGAGAACTTTCCAGGTTTTCTTCTTGCTCCCTTGAAAGTCACTGGTAAAGTGCTTGTGAGCTCCTTTGATTGTAGGAGGCCAAGTGAGATGGAATTTCTTTTTTCTGCACTTCTTATTGTGCATTCCAGTTGCTTCCCCTTTGGCCCTTTAAGTCTCACTGCATAGACTTGTAAAATTATTATTTCTCACATCATACAGGGCACATGTGTCAGGGACTTACAAGTGACCTGATTTAGGGAAAATTAATCAAGTTGTTTATTTAAAGTATAAGGTAAACATTCTCATTTTCATTTTTTGCCATCCATTAACATCTTCAGTTGTCCTGGTTTTATATCCACATAATAGTATATGTTCCTGCCTGTAATATATTAAGAGTTACCATATAAAAGTAAACTTGTTTCCATGAACTGTTAATTTAATTAAATGATTTAATTCTATAATTGTTGCTGATAATTAATAATTTGATTTAATAATTTAAGTAAGTATTAAGTTCACACCATCCAATAAGAGAGATTCTGAAATCTATGGTACTTCACGTCTACTCCAGCATTTGCTGCTTTGGCTTCACAAAGCAGATGAAGTGGTGTCTGTTTAGAACCAGCTTTCTCTTTTCTATTAAGGCTCTGTATGTAAATAATTACAAACTAAAGCTGCATTTGTGAGGGCTTGGTAAGTACAGTGTAACATATACTGGAAAGCTTGAGGTGTCTGTACCTGAGGCCTCAATCATTTTAACATAAGGTGGTGGTCAGATAATCCGTTCTTGCTGCTATTTTCAGACACGTCACCAGTGATCAGAACTCATGAAGTGAAGACAGAGAAAGCAAAGGAAAAGGAGAAAAAGCTATCAGAAGGAAGACGCTTTGTACATTAAGGATTACTTTCATGTATATACATTGTGTTTAAATTATATTTTTAAAGATTAATAATAAAAGGTCTTACAGTTTTGTCATTCTTGCCTGGCACCATGACACTCTTTATAGTTTTTAACTTTTAAATGAGTGGGACATACACAGTAGAAACATATATAAATACGGACTCGTTCACTGGCACACATTTTCAATAGCTGCGTGCTGTGAGGGACACAGACACAAGCTGATTGCTTTAAGCTGAAGTAGCTCTTCCATGGATTCTGGATCTTGCACACCATTTCAGGTCCTGTTGTTTACAAAGTTAGTTTTAAAACGGTTTTTTAGGCTGCTTCTTTTCATTCTAAAATGAACTGGCTTCCCTTCACTCCATACTTCTTGTTATTACTTCAAAAAACTTCAATTCATCTGAATACCCCAGAACTGCCAAGTATGTCCAATAAAAGCAGGAAATCTCCCTGTGGCGTCTGTTAACAGTGAGGTAAAGTGTTGAATCACATACCTGCAACTGCAAGACTGCACAGATTTCATCCTATACCATGACTTCTTTAAGCAGAATGGATTCAAGTGTAGTAACAAATAGAGGGTCCACAGTCTACATTGGGCTTAGCTTTGTAAGCACTTTATTTTTACTTAGAGCTGAGAGAATGTATGTTCCTAGTTTGGGACTTTTTGTCCTTCCCCAATTTGTGTCCCTCTATAAAAACTAAAACAGGTGAAGTTCATGCATAAAAAAATGCATTTTTTAACCTATACTGACTTATTTATTTTAATAACAGCCTAGTATGACTTATATACCATGCTCCACCACCACTATTAAGAAGTTTGCTAAACACTGGGCGTATTACTTTCCGTCCCCAAAATGCTCTTCACTTACCGACACAGACAACCTTCCCTTAATATGAGTGCCTAAGAATAATGTATTCAAAGGCCATTCCTAGTGTGAGATTAGTAATAAACAGGAGGGCATGTTGAGAGCACACGGCATATGAGAATTGATTTTAAAGCCTGCTATGTGTTTGACATTTGAGGATTTTGCAGCAGTGGGCAAATGACTTACTGCACTTAAAAGACTATCCAATGCTGAAAACAATTCCAAAGTAAGAAGATGAACAGGATGGCTAAGTATCGGGTTGATGTTTAAAGCCTCATTAGTGTTTGACGGTATCTCAGGGCACAAAATAGTTGTTTAAAAATAGGCACACGAGGAAGAACTTTGAGCAAGAACCCAAACTAATTACTTTTCCAGGATTTGCCACTGGATTTTTGTCTGGGGACTGGTTGTGAAGAGCAGATTAATAGTACTGCCACTTCAGGCCCCAGCAAGGCTCTCTGAGAAGCTGGTCACAGAAGCTGCTGACTAGGTAGTAGCAGGAGAGTCCTTTCTGCATACAGTACTAACAAAACAAGGTGCAAGATGTCCTGTGATAAATCCGTACCCCAGCAAATCATCCCCAGGGTCAGCAGGAGGTGCCAGTGGCACAGCTTCACTAGCATTAGTGTTTTTCCTCATTTTCTGCTTTCTGAAAAGCAGTTATTGCCTTGCATTTGAGGCAGCATGGAATGCCATGCTTGAACTCAAGGGCTTACCCAGTGATTTTGTCCAAACCAAATGTTCTGTAGCTATGGATCAGCAAATGTAGCTTCATGAGCACAAGCCATGCAGATACAAGCTTGGGTTTGTTGACTTTAAATCTACAGAACTGTATTCAGAGTGGATCAAATCTCTGATGGTTTTTTCAATTTAGGGTCTTCTTGTGCCAGAAGAAGAGATCAGCGAGTTAGTCCTAAGCTATCCTCAGTTATTGTCAGCAGTATTTTGTATTAATTCAGATAATTTGCTTTATTTTTTATTCATTTATTCTGTCATTTTTTGCAACACTATTGCAAACTTAGTGAAAATGTTAATTAAGTTACCTCTCCTTTCCTAGGAACTGGTTGTATTGAAAACGAAAGGATCATTTTAGTTGGCTTGTGCATTACAATTTGGACTTACTACACATATTTGACAGATCTACCAAAGTTTTCATAAGAGTGAGGTATAGAGGATGGGAACATACATTCACCCTGTAGTTCTGCAGGTTGGAAAAGGTCAGTGAAAAGTGCACTCTCGTTTGTGTTTAAGGAGCTAGGCTAAAAAGAGTTCCAAAAGACTGCAGCTCTGTGAGAACAGAAAGGAGCAGGTGGATCAGTACAAATAGCCAGAGAGAAGGGAGATCTGTCAAGTGAAAAAGCAGCTTGTGGTGTAATCCAGTGAAGTTGAGAACGTGTCTGGGCTTCCTCTGTGCCACCAGCACCAGGCCTGGGGAGGCAAGAGGGTCAGAAACTCATGGGCCATAGAGAAGCTCTAGCCATCCTGGACTTGAACAGCAGCATGAATAGCACTTTGTTATTCCATGCCACACAGGCAGATCACACAGGAAGACTATTAGGCAAATCTTGACCACAGCAGGACATCACAGATGGCAACCACCCCGCTAGAGAGAAAACCTAGTATCAGGCTAATATTTTTGAATGGATCATGTGAGAGGCTCCAAACAGTAAGTCTAACTCCCAGAGAGAATGTGGGCTGAAAATGTTTTTTGCAGAGGCACCTGCAAAACGAATAGGAAGCAAACAAGCTGCATTGCAAGATTTCTGTGTGTGACTTGAAATTGGTTTACACCCAGTAGTTGCAGACTCAGGTCATCAGCTCAAGCTTATCATCCACATACAGCATTTAGCATTTGTACACCAAACCACTTCATAAGTAGGAGCAGATTACATTTTACCTAGAAGTAATCAAATGTCCAATTTGTCAGAAGTTTATTATCAGCAATAGGAGCAGGTGAACTTAAAAGGTAACTCCTTACTTACAGAGTTTCTGGCTTTGCCAAACTGTGAGAGAGACAGTTTATTATTTGCTCTTTGATATCCTGAGCCACTGGCTGCTAGGCTGTTACATCCACATAGGAATGTCAACAAGAGCTTGTTTCTCACTTGTAGGTTCACTAGTCTCACAGCCAGGAAACAGGATTAGCCAGATAGCAGCCCCATCTAGCAGAATCATTTTTATGCAGCAAGGCAACTTGATTTAAATCTAACTTCACACTTAAGTGAACAGATTCTCCAACAGTGAAGAATCAGCTCTGTACACTTAGAGGAAGTACTAATCAACTCCTCCAGTAATACAAAATAATGTTTACTTTTTATAGCATCAACCCTGCTGGGCCAGCAGTGATGTGCATGGCATAATTCAGAGGTTAGAGCAAAAGCACAGTGCAGGTCTTTGCAGAAACCTTGCTCAACCATTCAGCAAGGTGATGCAATCACAGCTTGTCTGTGGGACCAAAGTGCAGGGTGTTTAATTGAAAAAAAAATAAAAAATAAAAGTTCTCAGTTTGGGAGACCTCTCGGGGTTAGTCTGTTTGAAGCATGTTCATCATTGCATTAGAGCATCTATTCTAGTGCAGGGTAAGTGGCTTTCTAGTTGTCCTTCGTTCAGCTCTGAAAACCTAATACCACAGTTAATCTCCTCCAACAAGCCTCCAGTGTATGCATAAATACACTCAAATGGCCGTGGCTGCTGGACAAATGCCTATTAAGTTAACAGTATATCACTATTTGAACAGCTTGCGCTAATGGGAAAAGAAATTGTGAACAGCTTGAAACAACCTTTTGCTTTGACTTGACAAGTCATCTTCTATTATAGCTATTTCAGCTGTACCTCTGAGAAAGTTGGGGCTGTTCAGCCTGAACAGAAAAGAAGCTGTGTGGAGACATTATAGCAGCTTTCCTGTATCTGAAGAGGGCCTAAAAGGATCCTGTAGAGGGACTCTTCATCAGGGACTGTAGTGATAGGACAAGGGGCAATGCCATCTAACTTAAACAGGGAAGTTCAGGTTAGATGCAAAAGTTCTTTACTGTAAGGGTGGTGAGGCACTGGAATGGGTTGCCCAAGGAAATTGTGAATGCTCCATCCCTGGCAGTGTTCAAGGCCAGGTTGGACAGAGCCCTTAGCTGATACGGGCTAGTGTGAGGCATCCCTGCCCATGGCAGGGGGGCTGGAATTAGATGATCTTAAGGTCCTTTCCAACCCAAACCAGTCTGTAATTCTATTAATCTTAAGTATATTGTTCATTTAAATTTACTGTTATAAAAAAATGCAATTGCCATTATAGGCATTAGGTCAAGCACAATTTTACCTGTTCAGTTACAGCTGTAAATTACTGACTGAAACCCATGTAAACATTCTCTGTGCTCTCTGCTGCTGCATATGGCCAGGATTTAAGAGCTTTCTGTTTATACACAGTAAGCAGAGTCATAATTAAACAGTACGAACATTTCTTACAGTGAAACCGTAGTCCCTAAAAATAAGCCTCTTCTTAATATTTATTTTTTAATCCAGGGTGTGCTACCTATGTCCTATTTTCCTTTTAAGTTTATAAAGTAACTTAAGTCCCCGATTAGTTTCCAGTTGAGACAGTTGAGGGCTACTACACACACATGCTGATATGTTTAAGACCACTGAAACAGCACCAACCACCTACTGAATTGTCAGCTCCATCCTCTCCCTTTTGAGTTAGTGCACAGAAATGATACCACCTTCTTCTCAGACCTGCAGTATTTCTCACCCTGGACAAACAGTTAACAGAAAGCTTACAGTCAGTCTTGAGGTCAGCTCCCACCCACAATTCCTAACCTGTTCTCTCCTATAAAAGACCCCTTGAAGGAAAGAAGATTTATTCTCCCAAATCTTCATGTTGTTCAAGGCAACCAGAGAGCAAAAGTTACTTCAGCAGACATAACTGAGCTACAGAACAACTTGCTCTGCCATGTAGCAACAGCTGGGAGGAGTTTGTTTTACATGAGAGCACAAAAACTCCCAACTTGTCAGTGCAGTTGTTCGCTTGCCTTGGTCTCTTTCCCTCTCACCCTCCCTTCAATGCCTGATCCAGATTTTCTTCAGCTTGAGTTGGAACTAGGTCCTTTCCAACCCTAACCATTATATGGTTTTGTGACTATGCCTGCATGCGCAGGCAGCCTAGCCTGCTCCCAGTGGATATGTTCAATGAAATAGCTGGTGCTTAAGTCCCAGTAACAGCATTCCAGACAACTGTTCTTCACAAGAGCTCTGGTATTATCCCACCAACTAGGTGCTCATTAACCATGAGATGCAGGAGGTAAGCTGCTGAAGCTCATCTTCCAGTCCACCACCAAAACCCTTTTCATTTCATGTGTTCAGACTGCCCCACCATGCAAAGCAGGAAAGACTTAGTGGAGACAATTCGATCAGCAACGTGCTTTTGAATTAAATGTCCCAAACCAGCATACTAATTTATGCATTTCCAGAACTCCTACAGAACTATGTTCTTCAGACCAAGTTCACTCCAACGAAGCGGAGTGCAAGCTAGACCTAGGCTCCTCATTATGGAAAGAAAAGCTTGCTTAAATGGCAGCATATGTTTGTAACAAAAAATACAAAGAACTGGCAAGTACAGCAGCTTTCTGCCCTATAAAAATACCACCTGATAGAAGCTGGAAATATTTTACATTATCTGTCATACTAAAAGGCCACAACTTAAAATAAATCTGTGTTGAAAAGCCTTACCTTGGAAAAAAAAAAAAAAAAACCACATACGAATTTAAGCTAAGTAGTTGCTAACAATACTGTGGTATTGTTCTAGGTATGCAGAATATGCCATCTCTTATTTCAGAAACGATCCTATTCCCTACCCATCAGCGCAGTCCAGGTTTTTTGAAAGCCTGCTCCCACCCTGACAAAGTAATACATTAAGCCGAGGACAGTCCTTCCTGACCTTTGCTCTTCTCCCAGCAGGATAATCTG